CCCTTTTTTGATAGCTTATTATGGTCCAGGTACTTTTCCAACTCAGCTACTGTCAATGTTTTTAGTGTCTCATTCAACACCAAAAAAATCCAGTCATAATCACTGTGACTTTTTTCCTGCTTCTCTTTTTGTTGTTTCTTTCTACCTTTTTCCCTAATGGTTTTCATTTCCTTTAGTGTGGTAAGGTGTTGTAAATAGTCTATGACATATTGCTCTTCCACTGCATACTTAGAGGAACATTCTTTGATGCTCTCAGTATTCTCCAAAGATAAAAGCCCATTTTTGAAATTCTGCGTGATGTTGAAACGTGGCTGCCAATCATCTGGCTGTCTTCTTTCACCATTACTATTCACACATGGGGTCTCATGCACGCTTAAGAAGTGGTACGGCCTCTCACTGTTTGTCACTGGTTGTGGAAAGTTACTCTGACTTATTTACCAGTGATGGAAGACACCTAAACAGTGGGCTACTGAACAGACGGCTTACAATGACAGCATGGTGAGTGAACTGCAAGAAATTAGCAACCAGTCTACTGAGTTCATGGCAGATCTTGATAAAACACTGACTTGGTTAAGAAATGTATTTCATGGACTGTCAGTTGTAAGTAAAAGAAGAACATTTTGCAAGAGGAGTTACAGCCTTGTTACAAAGGATGACATCCACTGAGGTAGTACAAAGATGTTTCCCTGATGGTATACATGGTTCAGTAGATTTTAAAATCGCAGATCAAACTGAAGCCAATTTTAAGTTGTCAAAGATGGATGCAGTATATTTGCAATACCTCATTCATCGCAATGTCTTCTGTGCTGCAGCTAAGCAGCAGATGATGAAGCTGTATGAAGAACTGAAGTTAAAATATCAGTGCCTGTCTGATAGTTCCAGTGGAGAGAGTTATGAGGATGGTGAAAGTGGTTCTAATGATCCTGGTGATAGTGCCGATACTGACATTCTTTGCGATGAGGATAGAGATTGATAGGGAATGGAGAGGATCAAAAATAGATGCCTAGGTTCAATATCTACAGTTCCTCAGAAAGTTGTGTTTTATTAAAAAATATGAAAACTTTTTTTATATATATTATATTTATTTACATACAAAATAGTACACTATATTAATATATTTTATCTTTATATTTTGTGTTATATTAGTGTGTTTGCTTTTCACAAACTTGTTTAAAAGGTTTGTTTTTCTTCATACAGTGGAAAGTGCAGTAAGTTTTTTTATGCCATTCACAGAGGTTTATACTGTTGTTTACAAATGAAGTTTCATATTTAATGTTTTATACTAATTTTATTAAGTTATTGTTGTGCAATAAAACAAACAAACAAACAATAATTCTTTCTCATTGCAGTATGTTCATCACAGCAGCCATCGTCTATACAATATATGTGAATAAACCCAGAAAATTATAACCCCCCCTCTTTCACTCTTGGAAAAATTGTTAGCCCTCCTTTTCATATACAGAAGATGGAAATGCCCCCCCCCCTAGAATTGCCCGGCACCCTCCAGGCCAGATTAACTGGTAATTCCCTAAGCACAGGTTTTCTCTTTACCATGATCATAGCAAGTTACGAAATTAATGGAGAATGCAGAGGCACGTTTATATTTCACCCTAGTACTATTGCTCAAAATTGCTCAAAATGGTTTCGGTGACTTTTATCAGTGACAAGTTACCTAATTAGTATGCATTTCGAGAAACCACAGTGTGTGTGCATGCGCAGTTTGAAATGGAACAGTTTTGAACGCAATAAAATCACGCGTAGAACTCGGGCTCCAGCAAGAAATTGTGGCGTCAAACTGGTTGTCGGTTGAATTGTTTTGCGATAGACATAATTTTGGAGCCTGTATTTGTCTATAAAATGTTTCTAAGTTTTGTTGAGGATTTTTCTGTAAAGAAATTGCTGAAATTATTTCATCTATTCGTAAACGGGACGTTGTTGCTTTGACGGTGGGCTACGGACGACTGACGTCGAAACGTTCCATTCATATCGGATGGCGCCCTCTCGTGCCAATCCCCCCCTGGGCTAGAGGGCCTTTTACGTCTTTTCGCTGGTTCCCGGCGTCCATTGCGAATGGCAGGTAGGACGCAGGTAACTAGTAATCGCCATATTGTTCCATTTGGGCCGGTTTTCCGGCCGGAAGGAACGCGACTGGGTGACGTAATTTGAAAACATTCCAAGTTCCGTTTTGCGTAAACGTGTCTGTAATGCTACAATAAAGCCA